ATTTAAAATTCTTCTTCTCGCCTACAAAGCCCTTAATGGGCAGGCGCCATCTTACCTTAAAGAGCTCATTATACCCTACTGTCCTACTAGGGCATTGCGTTCCAAGAATGCAGGGTTGTTGGTTGTTCCTAGAGTCTCTAAAAGTACAGTGGGAGCCAGAGCCTTTTCTTATCAAGCTCCACATTTGTGGAATCAGCTTCCAGTTTGTGTTCGGGCGGCAGACACCCTATCCGTTTTTAAGAGTGCGCTTAAGACCTTCCTTTTTGATAAAGCTTATAGTTAGGGCTGATTAGATTCAGCCCCTAGTTTTGCTGATATAGGCTTAGTTTTTCGGGGGACATCTTACTTCTTCCTTCTCTCTGTCTATACCTGTGTACTCTCATGTTCCGATTAACCCAGCTTCCCCAAATTTCTTTCTTTTTGGTGTCTATATACGCTGGGATCCGGAGTCATGGATGATCCTGCGGTCCTGTGTCCTGGATCGCGAGCCCTGGATCTTGAGTCGTGGCTGTGATCCTGGATCATAGATCCTGGATGGATATCCTTGTGGATTCATCTTCCTATCATACACACATGCATTTCCAAACATTCGGTCTATATGCTGTAAAATGTATTATCTCTTCGATTTATCTTAACATCTATTGCACGTCTGTCCGTCCTGGGAGAGGGATTCCACCTCTGTTGCTCTCCCTGAGGTTTCTCCCATGTTCCCCTTTAAACTGTGGGTTTTCTCCGGAAGTTTTTCCTTGTACGATGTGAGGGTCTAAGGACAGAGGGTTTCGTATTGTCATACTGATATTCTGTACAAACTGTGAAGTCCACTGAGACAAATGTAACATTTGTGATATTGGGCTATATAAATAAACATTGACTGATTGATTGATTGATATTTCAGTCCACACCAAATCGGCATTGCCATCCACAGAGGTCGCTAAAACTGACACCTCAGATTCAACATTGTTTGTGATTCACTGCATAAACTAAACTGATACTCTTCAGAGCCCTAGGGAATAGCTTCCTTCTCAGTCACCAACTAACCAAACACTTGCAGGGACTTTCCAGGTCATTTTGTACTTGGCCTATTCCAGGGACTTACAGCACTATATATATCAGTGTATACGCTCTGCAGTTAACAAACATAATTACTTTTTTGGTCTTGTAAGTCCACTTTCTACACACACCACTGTGGCTTTGCATAGTATTCCGCAAGGGGAAATGTTGAACTATAACATTGTGCCTCACTTCTGCAATGCATGCAATTTCTATTCATGATTAGTACATATAGTCATATTATATGTTCCCAATGTCGTTTGACATATTCTAATGAGCCGTCTTGTTGACAGATTAGCACATGCAGAATGAGTTCAGAGCTGTGACCTTTTACATATCAGAGTGTTATATTGAAATCTCGGACATGAAGCAACCAATGAACCAGTTTCATAAGCTTTAGCAACATAGGATCTGTAATGAACAGTGCAGTCATGTTTGATTACAATCAATAAAACTGAGACTGAATTAGACTTTTGCTTGAGAAGAATCACTTTAAGTGCTTAATCCCATCCTTTGTGTCAGCAAAAAATAAAAATGGGAATAGAATTAAAAGAAAGGAATCAACAGAGCCTATGTCCGAAATAATGGAATTTTGTAGCAAATTTGTAACTATCATAGTTATAGTTATAAACTTGGATTGTAAAGACACATCACTTAGCCATCATGGTCAGATTACACACACGCCATGTGTCCCAACCATAGACTGTATATGTCCCAACACAAGCACTGCTTGAGCTGAAACACTGGCCGGCTGGTTCTTGGAAGAAGTGTCATGTTTTGCAGATTGTAAAGTGTGTCATGAATTATGAGGACCCACTCTCACTGCCTCAATGCCAAAATGTTAGCACACACTTGTTCACACACATGGACTCAGATACACACACATGCACAATAAAGTGGTTCTCGTGCTACAGGACTTTTAGGAAGTAACTTAAGCTCTTTAAATCAGCTCTGACATGACATCAGTGATCAATCCAGGGTGTCTTTAAGATAAGAAGTTACCAGCATTGTATGCCTTTGTTATCATTCTTACTGATGACAAATCCAATAACACAATTCTTGCTGATCATTTCCACAGCGTCACAAGTGTTTATGTCATGTGTTTAATTAAGCTGATAAAAGTTGACCCAGTGGCCTGGGCAGACTTAGTTACACATTATCTATAATGCCTTCGTCCAAAATAAACTAAATACCCTGATCCATTCTTCACAGATCTGTTGGTGCTGATTTGGGATGATTACAAATTTAAATACAATGATAAACCCTTTGCGAACAGATGCAATCTTCAAAATAATTCACAATGCAACTTTATACTCAAGAGGAATTCTAAGGACAAGTTGATCTATTTATAATAACAGGAGTGACTAAGAATCAGGGGACTTTACAGCCACGTAACTGTGAGGCTTCATATTTACAGTTACTGAAAGGAGTAGTAATATGCCTGGGCAAAACACTTCCTGAACCATAGTTACTTTTATCAATAAAAGAGTATTGATATAATCCAGAGGTTTGCAAATGATGTGTTGAATCACATACTTGGTTGAAAGTATTGAAATGTAAGCAAAGAATGATTACCACAATGCAAACATACTTTGTTACAACTTGAAGTTCTGCATTCAAAATGTCTAGTTTAGTAAAAGTACATAATGTGATCAGCTAAATGTACTTACATATCATTATGAAAAATGTCCCTTTCATCCACAGCAACAGGTTTCATCTTCTTTGCTTTTTTATCTACAAAATAAAAAATAGTAAATCTTAGAAGACTTCTATTGTAGTTTTGTTGGTGGACAAGTTACAACTGTATCCCTGCAATTAGCATACATAGCCTTGTACAGCTAACACTTGTGCATGCATAATTAGCCACATAACTCAAAAACCTGTGTGGGTATCTTTATACAGTCTATGGTGGGTCATGTATTCAGGGCTTACCAAAAAGGCACATGCAAAACTGAATTGAGATGCAAAACCACCATAAACAGAATACACACAACTTCAAAGAGATGCAAAATGAGTATTAATATACAAAAGAAAGACAACCAAAACTACAAAGACACGACTTTTGGTTGTCGTTTTGTGTGTCTGTGACCTTTTGTATCTAAATACAAAGAGTTGGGAGCTCTTACATGTCTGTGCCAATGGTCTATCATAGGGTACATTTAATTAATAGTAAAACATGTACAATATATTGTTTTGAAATATAATGTAGTTAAAGTACAATGTAGCGTGATTGGAAAATACTGAAGTAAATGT